TAACAGATGGGATTAACCTCAATCATTCTTGCTGAGATCTATTTGCTTCTATCCCATCATGCACTCATTCTGACAGTTACGGCCCACTTGCCTTCATTTGCTTTCCTTTTCTTCTGTGAAAAAGCATGAACAAGGTCTTTATAGAGACCAGATTGGGGTAGAACTTACAGCCTGACAGACATTAAAAGTCAGTGGTGACAAGTTTAAGGAGTTATTTTAAGGAGCTAATAATTCAGATAACTGGTAATACTGGCCGATTTTATTGTCCAGACTGTATCAGTCACACTCCAATACAGATACAGCTCAAAAGCCAGAGCTGTCTCATTTCCCTGCTCAAACACACCTTACCAGTTGTAGCCACATTCTGATTAGCACGGACTAATCAACTACTTGACTAATAAATCTACAAGTCAGTGCTGTGGTAAGCAGTCGAATAGCTGAGGACAGTGTCGGAGTTCAGCGGGTAAGTACAGCAGTGGACAAAAACAGCAGTGAAAAGCCACAAGAAGACTCCAGAAACAGCTTTTCTGCTAAACAGTTTGCTGCTAAACCAATCCAGTGCAAGCTGTGCAAAACTATTTTGTGGTTCAGTCTTAAGTTTTGAGAACTTCCAGATTCTTAATAAGAAAGAGTCATTTAACTTGCATGCAAAATGACCAAATCACAGCCCTCTGGCGCAAAGTATAGGCAACGAAAACAATGGTGTATGGTAAAAAATGGACAACCAGGATGTCTTAAGTCATTTAAAAAATCTTTATATTATGATACTGAAGTTTAAAAAAAGCCCTACATGTATAAGATAATACATGTACATATATGTAGAACTCTTAATATAATTTTTTAATATGCAAATAATTTTTTACATTGGTGGTTATACATTTTGGGCATTTATGTCTTTGAAGAAAACTTTCCTGATAGCATTTCGTATAATGGCACAGCACATATGAATTAATTTCTGGAGTCCTGTTTCATTCTCGGCTTCCTCTAAAAATTGTTTTCAGGCTGGGTGGAGGGAGAAAAGTAAGGGGAGGGGGCTTGGTAATCTAGACAGCACACTGAGTTTGAAAGGATAGTACCGCAACCTTTACAGAGAGCTGTGAAGGTGCTCAGACCAATAACACTAAACAGTCGTACAACAAAAAAGCATAGGATCACAATATGACAGTGTAGTGAGATGCTGTGGAACCAGAGCTTCTCTGCATTTCAGTATTAATATCATGTCTGCTGAACATTATAGTAAACCTCAAGAGTGAATTTTGGCACGTGTGTAGTTACCAGATTTATTAGGTGCGGGATGGGGGGTGGAGGTGGGTTCAGAGAGTTCCTGAACTGTGCTCCACAGCGCTCAGAGCAGGTGGGAGTTGGTACTGCAGAGGTTTGATTAGAGAGGAGAATAATAAATCCCTGGGATTTGGGGCCAGCTGAAGATCGCTGGGCAGGATTTAAAGATTAGTTCAGAGGCTTGTGTAACGCCCACTGATCTCACTCACTTTTACACACACATACACACACCCACACCATTCTTTAGAAAGGAAATCGGTGCCGGCAACAAATAACACCTCAATCCACCATCTGATCTTTTCATCCTAACAACACAAAGCAGCTATTGTATTTGCTGTTATTTGCTACTTCCCAATCTGAACAGAAGATGAGACAGTGAGCAAACAGCCAGTCCTACACATGAAGAAGAAGCTTCATGACATGGCATCGCTAACTGCTCTTTGGTATCGATGAAAGGCTGAAGAGTTGTACAGGTGCCTTTTTTTCCCAGTAGTCAGGGAGACGCAGGGTGAGTGTCTGTCGGAGTGAGGAAACAGCTCAGCTGATCGATGGAGTCAGTCTGAACGGACAGTGCTCTGGGGAACCCTGAACTGTCACATCAACAATTCTATTCTGGTCCAGTCTTCGCTTGCAATGTTTCCTGATGCCCTGTTCGCCATTTTCTGGCTCTGGTTCCTCAGCAAAATCAGTGGTGTGATATTATGAAACCAAGACTAATGAGTAGGGGTGTAAACAAGTGATGCAGCAATAAAAACTCTTGGGTGAAACCAAACCAGAAATTCAGGATATAAAACCAAATCCTGAAAAAACATTGACGATAAATATAAAGAGTTTACATAAAATAAATGTACAAATTATTACAGTATGCACATGCTATGATCCCCACATGCTTGACAACAGAGAATGGCTAGTCATCAAAAGCTATGAACTCCATCTTATTTTTATTTATTTATTTTTTATTACTTCTCACTTTGTGCTGTTATTTATACCATGTAATTTCCAAAAACGTTGGGTTGCTGTGCAATACGTAAAAACAATGGTATGCAGTGATGTGCTTATAATGAAGACCTTATATTTAATTGAAAATAGCACAAAGACAACAGAACAATTGTTGAAACTAAGATATTTTATTGTTTTTTGAAAAATACACACCCATTTTTAATTTGATGGCAGCAACAAGTTCCAAAAAAAGGTACGGGGGCATGTCTACCACTGTGTTTCATCACTTCTTCTTTTAACAACACACTGTAAGCGTCTGGGAACTGAGAAGACTGACTGAAGCAAGCAACATCAAGCAAGATTTGCACATCATTGCATTCTGTGTTTATTTCAATTTGGCACAGCATCCCAACTTTCTCAGAAACAAAAGTTGTAAATATTTTCAAAAACTATGGATTCAGTGTGCTAGCAGGGACCTTCATGCTTCTGTGGTTTTCCCATATTTTATTTTAAAGACATTGTTTTTTTTCCCCCAAGTGTAACAGTGATTATTGTCCCTATAAAAACCATAGAAATGTTCCACACGACTGACATTTTCACTGTTGATCTGCTGCTGCTCAAACTGTTTGAATGTGGCCGCGAATACCAGTGCAGGAGAACACTTTGTTGCAGGATTATTTATTTTTTTGGTCAAAACTTTCTTTTTTTTTTGGCTGAAAACTGAAAGTGCAATCATTTCCGGAGGAAAACTTTTAGTGCCTTGATATTTTGGTGTATCCTTAATTTAAACATCCTCTCAACCATTCAATTACAAATTCTCAGGAATCTCGAGAAACCTTGAGATTTTAAATGTAAAAAAAGTCTTTTACTAAATGTATTACTATTAACAACTATAATCATTACAATTAATAACTAATATACAGAACAATTTTTATCGGGGATGCACAACTGGAATCTGCAAAGACCTTTTTTTTTTGAAAAGTAAATACCAAAAGACAGTTACAGCATACAGCAGATTTAAAGAGCAAATATCATTATCAATATTGCTAGTTTGGATAATACAAAGTACTGGAAATGTGTAAGTGTATACCAAGCGTTCATTTACTCCACAAAATGTGAGCTTTGAAAGAAAAGAAAAGAAAAAAAATAAATAAATTCTGCCAAAACTGCCAGCCATTCAGCTATGAAGACATCAGAACTGGCTACGATGCAACGGAATCACCTTCAGATCCATGTTTTCACACCTTTACTAATGATAGAAAAAATAATTCACTAGCCTCATCACTGCTGTTTTGTATTAACTTTAGTGATGTGTAAAATGGGATGAAGTTAAGTTCTCAGCACATGCCTTCAATAATGTTAGTGTGGGGCTTGTTACCCTGTTATTAAAAGATCATGGGATCAAATTACATTGATATGAGCTTTGCAAACAGAGCACATTATCAAGCAGTACGTAAAAGATGAGGCAGATACTGTAGCCTGGTTAAAAACATTTTTTTCTGATTATGCATGCTGGCCCAGCAATAAAGCAGGACCTATAAGTCCAACCTGAAGAGCCCATAGAGGATTTTATATGAGTTATTGATTTGAGCAAACAGTTAATCTAATCATCTCAGAGGTCTGACTAATGTTGACAGGCTATTGCAATCAGGGCAAGGTCAGGGCAGTCATGCTAGCCACGACAGGGCAGGAAAAGGCACCATTAATCAGCATAATGCAGGTCAAAGGAGTTAAAAGTAATGACAAAACCAAAACTGAGATGACATTCATCACACAGGCTACTGTATGGAATTTCATGGCACATTTATAAGAATACCAGCATTAGCATTCTGCTAGCATGAATTACAGCCCATCATCTTGTGAATGCAAACTTGGCATGTGTAACAAAAAAGATTACAGAGGTTAAAACAACGGACCACCCTAGTTAACCTTATCGATTTAGACCTGTATTAAACTCTGTAGAATGTAGACTGATCTTGGCTTTTTAAAGAAAAATATATACCATCTTTCAAAGAAACATCAATGCCTGTTTATTAATATTTTAAAAGTTTGTTCTAAAGTCTGAACAGACTGGAAAAATCAATGTGATCGTCAGCTATTAATCTCAGCATTACTAAACTCCTTTAAGAGATGATGGAACCGAACAGTGTCCTCAGTACTGAACATGTTCACAAGCGATAAGCTTAGCATCAGTGTTATACTGGACTTGTGCATGCATTTTGTCGCATTGCCATTACCTGAAAATCACACAGCCACTTACTTTATAGTCAAATTTACAAGATCTTGTTTATTGGGATATGGTGAACTGTTAGTTCATGACACAGCAGTGGGACTATGGGATCAACAGTGGAGTGAAGCTGGTGATGACAGCCTAAACAATTAAGAATCTTGCAACTGTAAATAAGATCGTTTTTTATGAAACGTTAACAGAAGAAGTACATGAAGAAAACTGTTAACCGGTAACAAAGAGAAACCATGTGAATTAAATATAGTTTTTTTTCCCCTTATCTGCCTTTTCAACATGTATTCTAAATGTACATGTATTCTAAATACATCACTTTTTTTGTATCGTAACTAAACGTTACTGTCTACATTTAAGACGGTGTACTCAGTACTCATGCATAAATCCTTTTTCTAAAGCGTTTCACAGTCCTAATAATTAGCAACGTTAGCAGTTTTGTTAAAATATTCATTATATAACATTCACTGGAATATCAGCATAAAGAAGGTTCTAACAGCATCTATCTACCAAATAAATGTGTGACTGGAGTAGGAGGTACCTGAGAAAAAGCTCCAGGTGCTTTACCAAGGCCCTCAGATTCTTCTCAGGCATGTGCATCTTGCCAAGGATCTCAGGAAGCTTCACTGCAGAAAGATCCAAACATTAAAAAAAAAAAACAGTTAGGCTATGTTCACACTGCAGGTAAAAGTGGCCCAAATCCAATGTTTTACTTCATGTGTAACAGATTTATTTCATTGTGTGACTAGTGCGATTTTTTAATTTTTTTTTTTAAATACAAAACACAAAGCAATCATCAAAGTTGTGTAGAAGAAAGCATAGATTTGACCACCCTGACTACAATTATGAAACAAGCGCTGAATCGGGCGCAACAAACGAATCTGCTTTAGTGTGTAGAAATAAACATGCCTGAGTACATTATTTACACATCATTACATACGAAGCAATAAAAAAAAAATCTAAATTTCCATTCCACCTTAAACAGAGCAGCAGTTCCATGTTAATACTGCTCTATTTAAGATAGAATGGAATTTATTCATAAAAAGCTGGTGAATAGGATGCCAACTTCAGCCTCATGGAGAGGACACAAGTCTCAGCAGCTACTTCTCCCCACAGGACTCAAGCAGTCACTAAGTGCCAATTCTGAATGGATGAAACAAACACTTTGCTCTGTAGGGACGTTATTGGCTACCGATTTACACCTCTATTCAGGTGTAGACTGCACAGTTTGCTGGCAGTTATTGAGTCACGTTAGAAAATCCCCTCATACTCATTTCAGCCAGAAGGTAAGAGCCACACATCATATTGAAAAACAAGATAAGACTGTAAATAAACTTGTAATGATCAGTTCATTTGAGAGGTTATACAGTTATATATAGCTTCTTCTTATTTTATATAGATTTTGTCGTTTAAATATTCTTTTTTTTAAATATTTATTTTGTCTTCTAAGAAAATGTCTTGCGCTGGTTCTCTCTTCAACAAGTACCGTTATCTGTTAGAAACAACAGTGGAAATTAAAAAAAAAAAGTTTTTAAAGTTTTAGGAGTTAACAAAACATAAATAAACACAAAAATAAATGTTGAAGTTGTTAACATTTCTTCTCTAATTCTGTATCAGAAATATATTGTATCATGATACAAAAACTTTGATGTGTATCATGTCTTGGAATCTGCATACTTCCACAACTAAAACAAGCTGATATATTCAACACTTGACTCTTTTCTGCAAACTTTGTTCAGCGTGGTCTGGTTCAGTGTCTGCCGTTTGTCCTCAAAGAATAAAAACAGCAGTTTGTACAGCTTTTGATGTAGTGTGAAAGGAGTCCTTAAGGAAAAGTAGAGGACAGTTGTGTCTGCTGGATGAACATGCTGGGCAGTGTGTTCTTTCGCAAATGTAGGTCTCTTCAAGAGTGTGATACATTCAGACTGATATCAGACTATGCTTACCGCACATTCTGAACATAGAGCAGGTCAATTTATCTCCCTGTGACACAACATTGTACAAGCCTAAACATAATATAAACTTGAGCGCTACCCTAGGCCTCATTTGTATCTAGAAACACCACAGCATCTCTCACTTTAGCACTTTAACTCAATAACGCAAGGCTAGATATGGATTCTTATCTTACTGACACTACTGTCTCACAAAAGGTCCACTATTGAAAGATGTCCCATCGAATGTTTAGGGACACCTTGCCTACTTTAAAGCTTGAATTAAGAAAGCAAGCATTGCCAGCAACGGCTTTGTTAGCATAAAACAGCTATTCATTAATCCACTCAGCTTCATGTTCATCAGACTCTTCAGGTTTTGTCTAAATAACAATGTGACAGTTTCCTTCACAAACTATTGTTAAAATCACATACTGAAAATTGTTTGCACCACAGGAGGCTTAAACAGCTGAAAGGTTTGAGTGCTGATGACGGCTGACATCATAACAAGAGGATGAAATGTGTGGGGATAGTGCTTTAGTTATTCCTTCAGTTTATCAGGTTTTGCAAAACTGACATAATCTTAACAGCTTTTCATTTGATATCATCGTTATCGTAACGAAACTTCTTATCTCTGAAACTGTGACTTTATAGAAGAAGTGAAAAAAAAAGTATGTTTACGCAAGTAAGGATGGGTGAAGTTTTTTTGTCATTACAAAGTTTAAAAAAGGACATTTATAAATGACAATTTAGGATTTTGGATAAATCATTTCTGTCATGTTACACATTCTTATATTTAAGAATCACAAGCAGTCCAAACACCAGACTCCACCTCAGTGTAGAGCCTGCATTTTACATTTTGTTCAGAGGTTCTAACCTGCCTATCTAAATGAAAAGACTACTGTAGCCATCTAAACCCAACTGTTCACTGGACAAGAAGTGCAGCGCCCATCAGAAGATACTACAAGGTGCAGCAAAGCTATATAGGGAAAAAAGCCTCGATAAACATTAAACTCAAGCTCATTTTACAATACACAAGTACTTTTCATGGAATGAAACTTTCCATGTCATTTAGTGCTCTCATCATGCTTGGTATCAGTTCACTCTTCACAAACTCACTGCTTCCAAGCTAAAAAGTATGAGGTGAAATAAAGATACGATGTGATTAAGATAGCTGAAGTAACAAACAACTAGCTAGCATTTGTCTGTTTATCTTAATGAGGAATTCTCCAGAAATTTCTGCATAATTCTGTCAGTGACAGTCAAAGCCATTCAGGGTGGTTTGTGGTGAAATGATTTACTGTAGAAAAACGTACTAAAAATGTACCCAGTGCAAATACATCCATTTTATTTACAGTCCAAAACCATCAGTGAATCTACACATGTCTAGGTCTCCATGTTGATAGTGTAAAAATAGCTATAAAATCTACATATCTAAAAATATTTGGGAATTATTTTGCTTTAAAACACACTATGTACCTCTCCATCATAATTTTTATGCCAAAAAAATCTTGCAAAACTACTGTGAAACAATGAGTGCGTTTACATGCACTTAATCATCTGATATCTGTTTGCTTATTTCCGGTTTCGCAGTCTGTTTTTGCACACGTGCAGACTGAGAAATTCGAAAGAAATCAGAGTAAGAGCACATGTGCTGAGATTACCCGATTACTAAGCTCTCTTTATAGAATTTCATAAGATTTGTAGACCTTACTTCGATCTAAGAAATCGGAGTATGCTGTTTACATGACCATTTGAATAATCAGCTAACTGCAGAAATCCGATTACGCTATACGCAATACACGTATATAAACTTCAACATTTTGCACCCTCTGTGAGGTGGCTTCAGAAACATTAAATTCTTCAGACATATGATTCCCATCAACACTGAACAATTCTGACACTAAGGTTCTCTACAATGACTAATTTTTTTAATAACAGAAACTTGATGAAATTCCTCCTTCAAATAGATTTATTGCTCTTCTTGGTGTAAATTTCAAGCCTCACATCACCTATAATGGGTTTTTGAGGTATGCTTCTGGATTTAATTTAAAGGCAGTAATAAAGAGAAAGCAAGCAGAGCTGGAAGTCACTAAGTGGCGGCGTACATCAACGCCGAAGATCAGCGAAAACACGTGCACCTCCACAAGTCCTACGTGTAACTTCTAAAATATAAATGGCACAAAGCCTCGCAAATGTGAATATAAAAGCTGTTATCAAACACAGACAGACAAAACATCCTCATTTATTAAAACATTTTAAAACTTAGGCGTCTACAAACTTCTATCAGACAATGCAACTGACAGAAGCAGAATGGTGACCTCCAACACTCACCGAAGAGCCGTAGGAGGTGCTGAGAGCCGTACAGGTATGATGGCGGTGGAGGCTGATCGCTCAGAGGGTAGTTATCAGGCGTTAGTCTCCAACTCAGGACCTGGAGCACGTGACGGGATTCAGTGTCATTGAACATGGACAGATTAACAGACCTACTCTTCATGTCTCATGGCAGAGGCACAGATGAATCGGTTATAAATAGAGTACATGCACTGTATTCCACAGATCTGAAGTAAGCAGCTGCAGCATCGGAGTAGGCGCGTTGCAGATGTTTTATCTTAAACAGAGCAGAAAGGTGAGCAGGTGTTTGGTGCAGCTGTGCCGATAGTCAGCAGGGCTTTATGATCAGAGTGACATTGTCAGTGCACGGTTTCAAAATGCTAAAGCGGAGTGCATGAAACACCATTATAAGCTAAATCACAAAGGGGAATTCCACAGATTTTTCCATTTTTTTGCATAATCAAACAGTTTAGATGTAAACAAAGTCACTCAGAGCAGTTTGATGTCAAACGCTCAGTTCTAGAGAAATGTACAGAGTTAGAATTGTTCACAGATAAGAACCAAAAAAATCTGTCCAGAATTATGACTGCAGGCTTACTTTTTAGATTAAAGCATTGGTGTTAAGAGGCGAAAAAGTTTATACGTTTTATTACTCAAAAACACAAAAAGGCAAATTAGTAGGCTTTTGTGTTGAACAAGTAATGGATGCTGTCTGTTCAGATGAGCTAATAAGCCAAAACTAAAGCTAACTAGTATAATTTCAGATGAAGACTCATTTTCTACAGGTGGTATTTTTACCTCAGTGCATGATGTGCTAACGTGTTAGTCTGTCAGAAAAATACATACTTTCACCGTTTCTGGACTAAGCTAATATCAACATGAGTAATTAGTCTACTTAACAAAAATAGCAGCGTCAGATCTCTACTTTCTCAGTCATTTCCATAATAACACAACCTTAGCAACATGCTTAAGGAATGTGTTTCATCGTAGCAAAGTGTAAACATTCAGAAAGCTGCCACATTTTTGAGAAACTGTTTTGAGATACATTTTTGGCTTAAAACATATTTAAGTATATATTTTCTCATATTTAAGAGAGGTACATGTAGGCCTTTGTGACACAAAACAGTCACCAAATGAATTTTTTTTTCAGGTTAAACACCATTTTACTATCAACATTATATGTTTATATATATATATATACATACACACACACACACACACACACACACACACACATAGTATATATATATATATATATATATATATATATATATATATATATATATATATATATATATATATTCATTTTATTTTTTGTTAAAAATACTTGGTTTCTTTACAATGAACAATTCACATTCACATGCATCAAAGGCAGTTGAGTTATTTAAATAAATGTAAGGCTTACATTAGTCTTGAATGATGATGGATATCAGATTTTTAATGGATGATTAAAAGGGAAAAAAAAACAAAAAACAAAAAAAACAGTAAAAGGAAACTGACCTCTATGAAATGAGAATAAGCTTGTCTTGTCTTAAAAGTAAAACTGAAAACTCACTTCGTTTAGTTCATTGTTGCGTCGGCTCTCCAGACCAGAGAAGATGCCACTGCCGTCCTTACTCGGCGTGAGGGGAAGTGGAGACGAGGAGCCGCTGTGGACAGGTGTTCCTGTATAAAAACAAAAAGTTCATATATTAAAACACTAAACGCACAGCAGGCAAAAAGTGTCTGTAATAAGTTTCACTCCCGTTTCTCCACTTTCTTACAGGCAAGGAATATAAAGAGTGGATGACTGATGCCATCTAGTGGACACAGAGTGCAGTTTCCAGGAAAACGTCATGCACATGCAGTTCTGAATGTCTATTGTACGAGGCCACTTAATCCTTTCTCTCTTTAATGTACTCAACTGAACACAGGGCTTCATAAACAGGTGACCGAGGTGTCCAAATCAAACGAGGTGTGCAGTAGAACTGTATGCTAGACAGTAAGTCATTTTTGCAAGTATAATGCAAATGCAATAAATTAACACCACACTGATGAACAGATCTAGCGACGTAGACTGCCCTGCATTATTTGGACCAAAGTAAAATATGCAGGGCTGGAATGTTTAGCCAACAGATGATTATCAGTCAGGAGCAAATGACAATGGAAAAAAAACGTCAACATAAGTCAATAACTGATATAGCGTCACAAGTGATGTTACGCAAATGACCACCATGTGTTCACTGTCATATAATTATAATTTTTTTTATTGCTTCAACTTTATCCAACCATTACACTTCTACATATTTGTATAATTCTAACTTAGGGCTAGTTCAATCTGCTTTAGAAAAAAATGCACTTAATTACAGGCTATATAAAAGAGACAACTGACTAAACACACAATCCTCTGGATGGCACTGAGAAAGATAAAGCAGATTTTCAGTGTGGCAAGGAATGCTGGAGTACACGCAACATTTGGTGGACAAGGTTTTGGTTTCCAACCAAACAAACGTAGAGAACCACTGGATGTTAACAGCAAACCTACCAACCTTCAGGGTAAAAAAAAACAAAAAAAACATAGCATACAGGCATTTCCCCACTTGCCAACATATTAGGTTTAGTTATTTAACAGGGTCTGCTGATCTCTCACTCTGGCTCTCTTCCTGTTAGTGTCTCCTAACACTAAGGAGTCCTAAGGAGTTAAAGCACCATCCTCCCTTGTGGAACCAGCCAGACAGAGTGAGGTTTTATCCTATGTCGTTTTGCTATCTGCAGTCTCTTGAAACGATCGACACTGCACATTTGTCATCCCAGCTTGATATCTGCAGAATGAACCGAGTGCTATGATTGGTCTAACTCTTCTTCTTTTGTTCTTCAGAAGGCTAGACGCTGCTGCCTCTTGGTGTTAGATTTGAGTACAGCACACATGCACTGAACTCACAGGCGTCACCAGCTTTTTGCACAATTGAGTGACAAATCATCAAATTGCGTACAGGTTGGCAGGTCTGTCTGTAACTGTTATATGCTGTTATCGTTAAACATTTTAAAGTAATATGAGAAGCTAATCCACTGTGTAATTTTATGACCAAATCAGGGAAAATGCAAGTTATAGGATAAGGCTCTGTAATGCTCACATGTGGTTTTTCCCCAACTGAATTTGGATCACAATGTCGTTTAGCACAATACATCTGTAGACAATAAGCATATGTCTAAACTTACATTATCGGCCAAGCTTACACCTCGTCTTAACAGCAAGCGAGCATTCAAATGTAGAATCTCATCATGTCACATAGCCCTCTGAATGTATGCTAGAAATGTCTATTGCACGCTTCTTGTCAAAACAGATGATAAACAGACTCCTCAAAAAACTGCTCGAGATTAACTAAAATAGGTGAGCATCTGAGCTACTGTACTGTGTTAGGCCCAAAACATACTTTACACATGGGCGCGAACGCAAATGACGGCGCTCGTTCAACGCACTGCAAACTCTCAGTTCTTCTGTACAAACTCAGTGTGTTATTATGTTGCTGTGGCGGTTAAAACACTCAGCACTAAAGGGGGCGACAGAGGGCAAATCGGAGAGGGATATACTGTTATTCCAAAAGCCTCAACAGCTAAATATGGACAGTAGAGGAGAGTGAGCTGCTTTAACTCTTCTCTTGAAAAGGAAGTGCAATAAATGTATGATATTTTTATGATTATGTAAGCCGTCTTTGCGACTCAACTGCTCGTCTGCTGTGGCAGTTAAGACAGCACGCTGGCGGTGCGAGACTGCTTGGTCAGGCTTGGCTGTCGTTATAGCGCCCCTTGCTGTAACGCTCAGTTTGCAGCTCGCGCTTGCGTTGCGTTATGAAATGCGTCGTGAAACATTTTTGAAAGCAACGACGCGCGAAACCCCGTCTGCGTACCTCGAAGTGTCTGCGTTTGTGTCCTTGCATGAAGTACGTTTCGGGCCTTAGGCAGCTCGGCTATATTTGTTAACTTGTACCTGCTAAGTCTACTTGGCTAACTAGCTCTCCAATTTGCTTCCTTTATGTTAATGTCCTTATAACACTTGCTGGTAGTGTTGTAGAGATCCCTTTTCTCCACTTCATGGACGAGTCTCTCCTTATCTATTCTGAGGTGGAATTACAAAGTGATGTGACGCATCAGAATAGAAACTGTTTTGTTACTGTCCCTTGCATCGTTTGCTGACAGGACACCGAGTTAGTCAACATAATGCATGTATTTTAGGTACATAACTTTGGTTGGTGCGCAAAACGCCCAGACGCAGTTTTACACACCCATTTACAACCTTATGATTTGGCCCTAGAATAAAATGAGCTGTTTTCTTATTTTTTTGGTGGACTCTAGAATAATTCGTCGAGCTCTAGTTTGATTTGCTGTTTTGCAGTGAGGCACCATGATGGCTCACACTGAAGCAACCTGTCGAAACAGACATGGGCAGGAAAATAAAATGAACCTCCATGTGAGTAAGCTAGGTCTTCAGACTATTAGTTAGCTATGCTAGTTACTTTAAGCTTCCTAGTAGCTAACATTAACTATATTAGCTACTTGCTTTCAACTTTAACACCACCACGAAGCAAATTAAAGTTGTTAGCTCACTAGGAAACGTTCAATTTAAGATCTGGTTTAGCTGCTACTTACATGTCTGTTGGGGTTGCAACGCTAATAAAGTTGGAGCTGCCCCTCTCTTCAGTGTCGAACACTAGGCAAAGCCCGCTTGATATTGTCTAAGGTTTGAGAAACTGTCCATAGTGAAATCTGCAGAGCAAACTAACAACTAAGTTGTCCTGGATCCTCTTAAGGATAGGGGAACTGAAGTCGGCTTCCTATTAACCAGCCTGTTTTGCGAATTTTCCACTCCACCTTAAATAGTGCCACAGTTACATTCTGGCGCCTGTACAAGCTGTAGCATTTAAGGTGAAACGGAACATTCGATTGCTGGCAAATCAGAAGCCAATTTCAGCCTTGTTTAAAGATCATCAACAATGCCTGTTGACTGTTTGGTTCCTTGGGAGAGGTATGAAAAGTACCAACATTCCCTACATTTACATTCTGGCACAGTCTACCATTTGCATTGCTGCTGCTCCGGCAAGAACCTGGGCTGGTGTTTGTCAATTTTGGAGCATAAATATTAACATATTAGATAGCAGTTAAGGATTTTGGAATTGGCCCATTTTACTGCCCTCTTTTGCAAATGTGGGATTTGCATCTGAAAGAGGAGACAACAGTGTTTGAGGATGACATCAGTTTGATGTACTTGACTCTCCTTCAGATTCAATTATGCTAATGTAAATACAGTTTTCCTTTCTGTCACTTTTAAAAAAACAACAGCACTACATAACTCATTATAATGTTCACATGATACAAACACTCACACCCACGACTGCAATACACTACAGCCAGGGTGCCCAATCCTGGTCCTGAAGATCTAATATCCTGAGTTTAGCTCCAACCCTGATCTAAAACATGTGATCCAGATGATTTAGGCTTTTAGGGGTATCTGAATATTAGAGTCTGGTGTGTTGGATATACACTCTCCAGGATGGCAGATCTCCAGGACTGGGATTGAGCAGCCCTGCCATACAGAAACCACTTGGGCTGACACGTCTTCTAATGCTTCACTGCACCGTTGCTCTACCATGCAGTGTAATGCCGCTTAAGGACCAGATTCAAGAAACCCGTGTCCTTGAACTGCTTTAGTCTAGAGATGTGTCAATATGAATGTATGCGGTTATGTGATAAAACAGATCTCAGTGCTTTGGTAACACTGCAATTGAACATGTCCATAAAGCTTTTTTATGTTGAGCTGAAAAAGCAGTACTTACTCTTCTCCAGATTGAGAAAGAATTTGGGCAGAGGTGTTGGTGCTTCAGAGAGTCTGCGTTTAGGCTGGGGTGAAGCGCTGCTGCTGCTGCCCCCTCCTCCTCCGCCACTGCCCTCAGTGTTCCGATCCCCTCCTGAAGTGTTGCGGGTGGAGCGTCTGAGAGACTGTGTGGCGTCTGAGTCGGGATTGGTGCAGCGCCGGCGTTTGGGTGTGGTTGCCGCAGTGACAGGGGTGGTGGAGGTCTCACTCAGAGGTGGCTGGCTGTCCGTGGACTGAGGAGTGGAGGGATTCAGACCCGGGCTTGGAGAGCGCTCCCGAAGAGTCCTAGAAAAGATTGAGAGGGTGAAGTGGCATGACATCCAGCTCTGGGAACGAGAGAGCGTAGAGCCATAATTCAGCAAAAATTTAACGACATTTTTCGTGTCATGCAGTAGTGCAGCACTGTATCCCTCAGCCTCAACGGTTTGAGAAAATTAACAATTTTATATTGCTTTCATGTTTCCGTTTAGAGGCCTCTTACTACAATAACCAGCATGCATTACACAAATACATCATACAACCAGGAATCCATGTGGGGTCAACCAATCTGCTAACCCAGCCACTGATCTGTAGGCTAATAAATACAACCAAGCCAGCATTAGTGTAGCTCTTACCTCTGTCATCAAACAAGCTTTATTCAGCACAAAAATGGACAGAGACAAGTTTGCTTAACCTTTCAGCCAAAGAAAACAAGCTAAACTGAGGTAACTAAACTAGACAGCAAAGTAGCTACCTTGCTAACTTTAGCATTTTGCTTGCTGTCTTATTCGCATGTGATGAGACCCATTTCTGTCGTTTAAGTAACCAATTATTTTCATTGTAATGATGTTACCAATTACACAGCTTCAGCAAGATAATCTTTCTTCTGCATTCATCAGCTGACAATAAAAAATTGAAAATTCAAGATGGGTTTTATTGAAAGAAAAGCACAGTTGTTTTCCCAAAAAATCTTCCCTGCTTTAACATACATCAAAATGGAGTTTTACTAGTTTTCAAACTGAAAAAAAAAAAAAATCATACTCTAAAGACTATGATGACACTGCTGTACGTATGCATGGGTATACATATGCAACACACTTTTGTTCATTATTTTAGTTATGACATACATAAAACACCTAGGCAAGATAATCTGAGATTAACTGCTTAACAGATGATAAATTCACAAGAAAGAAAAAAAGTTTGCTCGGTGGCCATAAACTTATGATCAGGACTGTCAGTCCTTACCTAGTAGAGCATCCTGCACCATCATTGATCGGCTGGAAGAATTTGGATGAGCTGACCTTCTTGAATTGAGCCTGCTCGTTGGGATACAGGAGGATTATGGGTAAGGTGAAGTCAAAGGTGATCCGCAAGCCATCCACCATCTCCTTACAGAGCTCCTCACTACAAGTAGAGGAACATATGAAGAGCACTTAGACTCATTTTCTTTGTTCTTTTGAAACAGATTCAGTGGCAACAGGATTTCAAAAACCTTGAACTTTACATTACATCACTAGACCTCAATATGTTATAGGCATCACTTCACTTTACCAACTGGCTACACTTTCCCCAATACACCGCTAAAGGGCATCTCAAACCTTGCAAAAAGTCTGACGTCATTTCAGTGGAACTTACTTCTTCTCTGGTGGTACATAGTGTGGGTTCAAGTTGGACTGTGTTGAGCTCTGAGGGTGCCGATAGCGCTCGTTGGCAGAAAAAGCAGCGTTTATAGTGAAGTGCTTCACATAGGACTCCAGAATGTTCACTATGTTCATCTGGCATGGGAGCTTCACCAGCTGTAGACAAATGTTCAGGCAAATCAGTCAATGTCAAAAGAATCAGACCGAAAGACTGAATGAAGCCAGGCACTGAAAGATCAGACAAGGGCTGCACAAGTCATATTTAATTCATTGTGACGGGGAGGGAATGTGCAGACCTATGACATCTGCTGGTTACAGTTGAATAAACATTTCTTTTGCTATTAGAGGTTTTTGATAATAGACTAAAAACATTAAAGAACCATACAAGCACAGCAGCTAAGAATACAACGTAGCAGCATAATATTTAGCCTAGCTGCATAAGTTTTTAGAGTCCAATTATAAAATACCACTGAAATACAAAACCTGAGTGCTGGCGCTGCTTAGTGGAGTTGGGCTGGGCAATTTGACAATATATCGTTACTGCGATAAATCGTGTGACAATACAACATGCTTTCCTAAACATATTGTGTGTATTGTCAGTACCTGTAAAACACTGAACACCTGAAGGTTTCATTATAAAGAGAGCAAAATTAGTCCTGTTTAACTGGATTTAGTGAAACACAGTGTGCCAAATATTGAATAAAAACTGTTGTGTTCACATTTTTTAAATGTAGCATTACTGGTTATTTTTTTATTAACTGATCTGATGTCTGAAAAAATAAATATCACATACCCTGTTTTGTAAAAATTCCTTAAAGTATTGCATTATATTTTTGCCATTTCGTGCTTTCAGGAAACCCAGTACTGATTAGCTGAGGAGCTGAGGAGCAGAGACAAGTGCCCTGCATCTCCTTAATAGGAATGTTCCATCACTGGCCATCCAGGTCCTCAGATAAGCCTGCGAGCCTCTGCCTGAAGCTGGATGATCACTTCCACACGAAAATTCCTTAAAGTATCGCAGTATATTTTTGCCATTTCGCCCACCTCTTATGGGATGTGCGATAGTGAGGTCATTTGTGCAATAGACTGTATTTAGCTATTTACCTGCATTTGTCTTTTACTGCCATTTGAAGCAATTGGATCATTAACAGTGTCAGATAACTGAATATAGGGGTTACATTTTATAACCAGAAATGCACATCAGCTCAAAGTCATTGTTAAATCTACACTGTGAATGCAAATAGTGCAAATATATTTGCATATTGTGATGTGGCTTCACCACTTTCCTTCCCTTGCTGCAATAATGGCCATTACAAAAGGAGTCAATATGCAAATAAACCCTTAATGTGACCATCCTGCCTAATCACAGTTCCAGATTAGTTTCTATGGGTGTTTTGATTGATTAAGATGCAAGCAATTAGGGCTAATGACAATATTTAATGTTATCGTGACAAATTACATCACAACGTCACAACATGTTTTTGTGATCTTGGACATCGGTATGAGTAATTAAAAAGACTTCCTGAAGGCATGTTGGCTTACAAAGAGAGCATTAGTTCAGTTTAACAGAATTTAACTCAGCACAGTATGTGAAACTTGAATATAAAATCATATTTGTAGTAGGAAAAAATAAATATCATGATATATTGTGCATCTTGAAAATTTCATGAAGTATTATATTACATTTTTGCCATATTGCCTACCTCTGCATGCTGTCCAACGGAAGCTAATAATTTCAGTTAAAATAATGCAGGCCAGTTTTTAACTGTGCCACATTATTGGTTCATCTGTGCATTTTTAGTATATTATGAGATTAACTGCACTCAGAATATGTATGTTACAAACTGCACTAGTATTTTGCTTATTTTACTTTGACCAGACCTAATGTAATGTCATAAATCAAAGCTTTTTTTTCCAAATCACTTCTACCATGCAAACAACAGTCAATTTAACATTTACTTTATTTGTGTTACCATCAGAAAGAACTACTGTATTCAAATACACTAAAAACTACCTTCTTTCTCTTGTTGACGTAATAGCAGTCCTCCTCCAGCTTCTTCTTGAGGACTTCAGGGATGTCTATATTTATAGTGATGGTCTTATCCTCGCTCTCCCTCCTCGTGTGTGTCTCTTGCTCTTCCCTCTGTGATGAAAAACAGAGTAAGCTATGCTTTTCATGGTCCAATGGATCAAAACACAAAAAGACCTCTACAGTGCACTTAAAATTGCCAAACTCCATCTCACAAAACAAACTACACATATTATAAATATACCCTAAACAGCAAAAGTACCACTGCTAATTACAACAAGCTGCTACACGTTTATGCTATAAACGGCTGATCAGAGACGTAACCATTTACCATTTCCTCCAGATCCTCAGATGACTCGCTCTCACTTTTTATAGACTCGGGGTCGGAATCGTCCTCGTCACTGTCATCAGATGACGAGATCAAAGCTGGACGACAGCAAAACAAACGAAACGTAGCGTTTAGGTAAACGACAGGACTGCTCTCAAAGATGAATGACAACGTTATTGTTATGAACTGTGAATACACATGCTTTTTGATAAAAAAAAAAATAAAAAATAATAATAATAATAATCCGCTTCAGAAACCAGGCTTGCTTACAAGCGTCATCGCTCTCCTCCTTCTCCTCGTCAGGTAAGCCTTTTAGCACAGAGTTAACACCCGGCAAACGACAACGTCGCTTCCTCCATCCCTTCCTCCTCCTGTTAGCAACAAAATTTCTACGTTACAGAGAGTCTTCAAAATGTCAAGTCATGAAGATTCTTACACAGTCATTAAGAGAGGTTTGATGCGAACTGTGATATTTCAGAGAAACTTGCTGAGTCAGTACACAGAAGATAGTGTTTGACAACAGTTTTGATAAAATTTTGACCTGAAATACGGCAGCATATTTGGGGCTTTTTTCTAATTCAAATGCAAATTTGAAAATACTAATTAAATTGTTTATTTACAATTGCATTCCCAGATGAGAGTGCATTAACACAAATTCAACTGCAAAATGTGTACTTGTATTTTCATTTCTGTGTATAGTGGCTGGAAAAAAGTTAATATGGCAAAACAAAGTGCTTTCGACATTTAATTTTTATTGTCCTAATGGTGCGACTCTGACATGTTAAAAATGGTTTTACAGTCACCCATTTGCAAATGCATTTTCACTGTCAACAAGACTTCCTGTCAATCAAACTCTGTGGGCAGGACATCGGGAGGGACTTTTTATTGCAGGGCATTTTAACCCTGCTGTTATCAAATGATTTACACAGTTGTACCCATTAAATTAGGAAACGCCATTAAATATGAAGCAAAAGATGTCAATCTTTTATTCAGAGACATTAAAACATCAAATGGGGTCAAATGTCTCTCCTTCAACACGTTACAAATAGCGGATGTAAACAAGCTGTTTCATGCAGAAGTGTTAGACCGAAGTGAGCTTGGGGCTGTCACAAGCACCAATGTTAGTAACATCGTGACTGGAGGCTCGCAGGACTGTTGGGGGAACCCTGCCCAGAACACTTTAGTGCTTGCCCTGCTTTAACATACTCATTACAAATGGTGAGCAGTTGTTAACAAGATGGACGGCCCAGTTTGTCAAAATCATCTTAGCGTTAACGTCATTTTAACAACAATGGTAGAGGGACAATGTTCACTGCGATGCTCGTGCTATAATTCAAGAATATTCTTTGTGCCAAGATGCTTTCAGGAAACCCAGTTCTGATTAGCTGAATCAGGCCTGCTGGGAGCAGTGAAAAGTGCCCTGCATCTCCTTAATAGGAATGTTCCATAACTGGCCATCCAGGTCCTCAGATAAGCTTGCGAGCCTCTGCCTGAAGCTGGATGATCACTTCCACACGAAACAGCGAATGACTTTGGACAGAATTGTTTATTGTCTGGTTTGCAAGCGTTAAAATGTCACTAGCAGCCAATTGCTAATGCTCCAGCACTGCCAAAGTTTAGACTTTTTTTGTCACATCCTATTAAAACACATCCCACACTAAAAAAAGTCCCTCCCGACGTCCCGCTCACAGCATTTGATTGACAGGAAGCCTTGTTGACAGGGATGCAAATACACAGGTATTTGGGATGAGATCATAAAATGGACAATTCAGTGGTCTGAGGGGAAACGTGTGCACTTCAAAACAAAAAGTTAAAGAAGAAAAGCTTTGCATGTCATTTTAATTCTGGTAGAGCTGGAGCATGATGAGGTAACGCAACTGCAAATGGTAACGCAAACTGCAAATTTTCCATATTAACTTTATCCAGCCACTACACACAGAAATGCAAATACACACTGTACATTTGATTTGTGTCTTAAATGATGCACACTCACATGGGAAACGCAACTGTAAAAAAGTCTGAAACATGCGGCCATATTAAAAAGTAATTCTTTAAAATCTACTCATGGCCGAAAGTAACATGCAGGGTGTTATATGGCAAAACAGTATCCAAACAACACATCTTTCAGACTTACCACTATTTTACCATCATCAACATTACATATACAAACACAGAACACACATGCAAGTTCACTGTTTGTTTTAGACAGTAAGTAAAACAGATGTATTCACACTGTAGACACCACAACCCCTAGTTTCCCCTTCACCATCATTATAAAGAGATCCAAGGCAGTGAGTTTGTCTAACTACGGTTAACTATTTCACATCAAATCTCACCAAACAGCTTTGTACCTCAACAAACTAAATAATGCAGAAATTCTGAAAAATCGGTACAATTGCTCTTTAATTCAGCCTAAACCCCACGGTGGAATAGCGTTAATCTAGATTTAGAGTTGGAATGGGTCCCACATTGCTCCCTATTCCCTACATAGTGCACTACATAGCTTAGGCCGTTACATAAATCATCGTACTCTCAAACAGTGCCCTCAATTCTAAACGCGGGCATTTGGGATTGAGCTCAACCGACAACCCGGCGGTCTGAGGGGAAAGGTGTGCATTCTGAAACAACATAGGGTTAAAAAAAGAAAAACTTACATGCGAGCCAAAGCTTTGCGTGCCAGTTTACGTTGTAATTTGCGATTTTCTTCCGAATCTCTGAGTACATGATCCTCTGCAGCCCAGCGATCCCAACTGGAAACAGAGCAAAACAGAGAAACCGTTTGAAACGCTGAAACAGCAGCTCGGTGCAGGCACGAAGACAGGGCTAGCTAACACTAATAACTTATCTCTGTTCTTGAATTCAAGGTAAAGGTTCTCATTCGCTACAAGAGCCGTCGAGTAGGTAAAGAACAGCGAGCTGAAGGAGTTGTTCAGTGCAGTTACAGTTAACCTAGCCAGCTAAGCTGCCAGCCTGCTAGCTAAGAGCTAACCAGGCTGCTGCGGAGCGGAGCGGCTTCTTCTTACCTTCGGTTCCAACCATTGAAGTGAATCAGATACTTTGGGACCCGCTTGCCCTTCTCATCTTTTCCTACGAGAATGTCGACGACCTAGAAAAGGCAAAGGGCCGCATTAGAACACAGGAGATATGAAGAAACCGTGTACTGCGTCCATATAGGACTGCACTGATTTAACGAGGCTCAAGTCGGCTTCTCATTCGCCAGCTTCGCGTTCGAATTTTCCCGTTCCACCTTAAATGGTGCAGCAGTTACATTCTGGCGCCTCACCATTTAAGGTGGAACGGGAAACTTCGAAAAAGAAGTCGGCGAATAAGACGCGGATGGCACTGATTTATCCAAAACGCTCAAGTGACCCCAAAAAAGAAAAGAAAAAGGCACAGTTAAAAGCCACTGATTTTTCTTTTTATCTTATTATTACTATTTCAATTTATTTTTAACTATTAGCTACTGTTTTATTTACAGTGATAAAAAAAAAACATCTCACAAAAATAATACCGTATTATAAGCATGGGAGTGCATACAGGAGGCGAGTTAACTTACTGGGTAAGGGTCTCAAGGACAAAACCGAGAACAAATCATTCCAACGACGACTTTAGTAAGAGAACAGCTATTAAAGGTCTTAAGTCCTTCGATGCAGGCCAACAGACTGACAGTCTACAGTCGCTGCTTAGTATTTCAAACACAAAGAGGGCGAGTTGTACAGCGCTGTATCCAAGCGGCTTCTCGGTCATCGGCTCCCCCAACCTGCTGGGAGGAGAAACGCTCTCCGTAGGGATAATAAATGACCGCAGCCCATCTGAACACACCGGATTTTAAAGATAAATCCTAAGTCTTCCGCATGGAAAATAAATATACAAAGTGTATTTATCAAATACATTTGAAAACGTATGTTTTGGTATTGTTTTGTGTTTGGAATACATTTTGGAATGAAAATATGTATTTGAAATGTATCTCATCAAAAAATAAATAAATACCCATATATTTTTTCCCCTACAAATCAAGTCATAAGCGACTTAAAGTGGAGCTCCACTGATTTTTCAAAACTTCTGAATACTTCAGTGTTTGAGATGTAAACACAGCCATTCAGATTGGTTTGATGTGAAAGGGTCCATTTGATTCAGATTTCTTTACGGTGGTGGTGATAGGAACCAGAGGTCGCCATGTCTACATCACAAAATAGCCATTTTATTTACTGTCCAAAACCACCTGTGAGTCTTCGGAGTTTTATACCTAATTTTGATGATAAAATAGTCTTAAATATGAAACAATACGTTTGCCTTAGAACACCCTTCTTATATCATTCCACCAGGAATTGATTAAAATAAACTGATTACAAAATATGTTTTAGATTAAAAACAACGTTTTAAAATCACAAAACTACTGTAAATCTTAAGCGTCAGGCAACGTATCCATAAGTATTTCATGTAATTACATTTCTAAGGGAGCTTTTAGAGGTGGACGTCTGGTTCCTATCACCACTACTGTGAACATTTCTGGCTCTGTAAGATTTTCTAGAACAGAGCATTTCATACCAAACCACTGTGAACGACATCTCAACCATTTAATTACGTAGAAATTTTGAAAAGTGGGTGGAGTTCCCCTTTAAGTCAATCTTATCCCTCTCTACTGAATGAATGAACGACCATGCGAAGGTGAATGGGCTCAGTCTGCGGCTGTAAACAAAGTAAACAAAGCTTATTTATTTGTTTACTCCTAGCGAACTCTCAGCTTCCATGACAACCGACCGTTTCCGACAAAGTTACCAAGCTAGCTAAGTTGACTGAACGAGGTTTGCAAATAACGTTTAGTCTCTGCTTAAAGAGCCTTGCCACGTTACATTTATAGCAAAAGGCATATATATTATAGAGTTAAATATTGACTATTATTATTGTTACTGATTCAGCGAGTCGTGGACTTTTGCTGTATATCCTACACGGAGTGTGCAGAACCGAACAGACCGCACTGACTGACGTTCAGCCACAGGCCCAGTATTGGATCTGGGGAGCTAAATGCTAGCTAGCTAAGTTAGCCGACCAGTGGGCAACAACACCGCAGCCCGAGGACCAAAAGACAACCACAATGGCTCGTTTAACTGTCTAACTTCCTGAGTAGCATCACAACTTTTCGTAACTCCAGACGTGAGAGTCTTCTAAGTAACATTTTGGAGTAAACACGCTCTAAATAAGCCAACGTGTTCTCGCTGCGCTAAAACGAAGTTTACAACGGCGACAGTCTGCGACTAAACTAAACAAATCATAATAAACTCTACACATCTTTCCAGCTGCGGTGCACCCCAACTGTAGCGCAGAGCCACAGCCGCAGCCACGGCTCCCTAAAACACAACGCGCAGATGGACATGTTGGTAACTAAGTTACCTTTGCGTCGTACAGCACTTTGGCCTTTGACGGGTCGGGTTCGAAGCAGAGGACTTTTTCTCCTTTGCGGAATTTAAATTTCATTCCCCGTGAGTTCATTTGTTCATCATGGCGATGTGGAGAGGAGGAATCGTGGACCCCCGCTCCTTAACCCGTTCCCCGCCGGACTCTTATCCCGATGAAAACAAGGATGGAAGTGCGCAAGCCTTTCCAAACGAAAACGCGAGAGCTTGTGCTCGGTTTGTCCGCGGAGGCTTCCGTACACAAGCGCGACGTCACAGCGATGAGCGGGAAGATGTCGCTAGAATGTAAACAAGAACGGATTGCATAAGGAAAAAAATTAAATAAATAAAAGTAAATAGAAAATAAAACAATGACAATAATACAATATTAATAGAACTCATTCAGTAGAACTTTTGGAGCTTATGGACCTACAAATTCTGTCTGTTATATCCATGGTCATAGGCCAGACATGCTCACAGACATGGCCTACCAAAGATCAATTTTAAGAACAGCTACATTTTTTATTCATTCAGTTAATATTCAATTTACTGAGAAGTTATATATACACACACATATATATATATATATATATATATATATATATATATATATATATATATATAGATAGATAGATAGATCTCTCTCTCTCTGTATATATATAGAGAGAGAGAGAGATCTATCTCACACATCATACATGTGTATATGTATATATATATATATACATATGTATGTATGTATATATATATATATATATATATATATATATATATATATATATATAAACAAGTAAATTGACAAAGAAATTTTATGATTCTGTACCTCCGAGCAAATTTGAGCAAATTTGTGGCATTAACCATGCTGAGGTCATTTTTTGTCTTATTCCTTCCAATGAAACACATGTTCAGACAGCTCTCAGGAGGATATGATCGGCTCATCAGAGGCTTTTACACAAACTTGTGGAGTCCATAGAGACCTACTTTTTTATCCACAAGAGGTCGCACTATCCTCATTTATTCATTCCCTAAGACTGCTTTCCCTGCTTCAACACACCCACTGCAGCTCGGTAAGGGGTTGTTAATGAAATGATTAGTTGGATCAGGTGTGTATAACAGGGCAAACATTCAAATGTAAAGTGTACAGGGCAGTGGCTGTCCAGGTCCATGGCTCGGAAACTACCTTTATGTTGTCTGGTTTTCAGAATGCAGCATAGCCTTTCTGAAAATTAATAACACAAGGTCTTTTATTTTAATATAGGAGCAATAGAATCTTAAGCCATTCCTGCTTGTAGGGCTTTTCTGTATGTTCAAACTGGACAAGGTATGTCCTCAGGAATGTCACATGACATTTGTTATTAAAACTAGGCTAGCAAATGCAACCTTTATGACAAATGCCACCTATTGGAATAAGCGTTTATAAATGTTTATATAGGTCTATGTCAATGCTCATTAAGTGTATATGTAGGTATCATGTAGCCTTATGAACACCGGGTGCCCACTGCCCTCCTACAGTAAAGTTTTACCATTTTATTTTTATTACTATTCTACAGTCATAAATTTGCAACACTACTTCTCCTATAGCTTTAGAGCTAGAAACACAAAACTTTGCAGTATTATAGAGCCTACGCCCAAAAAAGGTCTCTTGTGGTTTTTTAACCTATGGCAGGGGTGTCCAGTCTTATCCACAGAGGGCCGGTGTGGTTGCAGGTTTTCACTCCAACAAAGCAGTAGGTCACCTAATGAAATGTTTGAAGACGAAGACCAACTGATTAAACGAAGGAAAAGTAGAATCAGGTGAGCTTCAGCTTGTTTGGAGTGAAAACCTGCAGCCACACCGGCCCTTTGCAGATAAGATTGGACACCCCTGACCTATGGGACATATGGGTTTTCTTATAACATTCATTCAAAAAACCAGAAAAGGTTGGAAGAATGTTCAGAAATTTTGAATCAAACTGTCACAAATGTCACAAAGTACCTCTCTCAGACTGCCCCTCATAGACATTACACACAAATCCACTTACTAGCACACATACATATTAGCCACAGTCTAGCCACACCTTAGCAACCACCTGGGATAGCCTCGCAACACCTTAGCAACTACCTAGGATACAACAGGAATGGCCAAGCAACACCTTAACAACCACCTGCAATAGCACAGCAATGGCCTAGCAACACCTTTGCAAGCACCTTGGATACTATAACGGCTGCCTAGATACCATAGCAACACCATAGCAATCACCAAGCCACATCAAAAACAGTGTTGTGCAACTGCTTTTGCAGTGTTATTAGCAAACTTCGTCAAGCCAACTTAAAGTTCATTCACAAACTTTCCTTTTGCACCTAGGCCTGTATCTGTATGTGATATAGTAACATTCACCTGGAGTTAATTATTCAAATGTAACTACTTACTCACATGACTTCAAAATTGACCAACAACTCAGTCAAGACCTTACTCCAATAAACAAAGGTGTCTTAATCTCCCTCCTGCAGTTTTGTAAGCAGTCAGGTATTATCAGCCTTTTGGTTTGGACTTGTTAGCCTCTCTGAGTGTGTATGCACTAATGAAATGTATGTTGTTTTTGTTTAAATACGTAAGAGCATGTGAGTTATAATTCTCTCCTGATTAGTCTATCACATCATGAGGTACATATTATTATAGGCCAAAACGAACCTACAAGCTAACACTTCTCCAATTCCAAAAAGGGTGGTTCAATGTGTTTCAGATTAAATATGTTTAGTCAGCTTTAAAGCAGCACGTTCCTTTCTAAATTTAGAAGCTCTTGGCATGACTTCAGTTTGTCCCAGCCATAGATGCAAAGCACATTTGGAAAAGCAGGGAGAGAGTACCCTCTGCCCCACACTGTCTCATTTTATCACAGCCAGTTCATAAGTTCACCATAAGTACCCTGTCTGCAGGCTTCTGTACTGCAATTATATTGCAATAAACTCTTCAATATATTAAAAATGTAATGGTAAATAAATGATGTTACATGGTTAAAACTTGAACCATGACTGGTCAAGATGCTCACAAGACACGGTAAAAAACACAAAGATTAGTAAAGGCGTTCATTTGCATAATGCAGCCTTTTGATATCAGTCTTGCGAGGCTACACCAATCAGCAATATCATTAAAACTATCTCTTTCTACACTGTATCTACACACATTGTCCATTTTACAGCTTCACTTACCATATAGGAACACTTTGTAGTCCATCTGTTTCCCTGTATACTTTGTTAGCCCCCTTTTACCCTGTTCTTTTATGGTCAAGACTCCCACAGGACCACCACTGAGCAGGTATTATTTGGGTGGTGGATCATTCTCAGCACTGCAGTAACACTGACGTGGTGGTGATGTGTTAGTGTGTGTTGTGCTGATACGAGTGGATCAGACACAGCAGTGCTGCTGGAGTTTTTAAACACTGTGTCCACTCACTGTCCGCTCTATTAGACACTCCTACC